GATATCACTGTGGTCGTTGTAACTGTGGCCGGCGGCGGTGTCACGGTGGCCTGCGGCAGTGTCACTGTGGCCGCCACCGGTGTCACTATGGCCGCCGCCGCGTCAATGTAGCCCGCGGCGGTGTCACCGTAGCCGACGATGACACGTCACTGGGGAGGATGTCACTACGGTGTCAGTGTCACTGTGGTCGGTCACATCACTATAACATAAGGAATAACTCGACAATAGGGGCAATTTAGTAAGCTTTGAACTTCTTAGTCACATTTTGGATTTTTTTGAAAGGTCACTTTATTTGCAATTACCTATATTTTAGTAATATTCATGAAAAAATATCTAGTTTACTTTTAAAAACAAGTAAAATATTTTAGCCATCGCCACCCATATGATTTTTCATGAATATATCCTAGACTATCCCACTAGATTTCCCAAACGGTTTCTAAGACCATCCACATTTATGTCGTCGAACCATGTTTTCTTTGGGATTATTTTTTAGTTCCAGATCAAACCAGACTTAAACAGATCAGACCAGACATGATCAGACTTAAACAGACCAGATGACAGTTTTAAAATAAACAGAGATCATATATTTTCTAGATCAGATCAGTTCAAACCACACTTAAACAAACCAGACGAGACTAGATTAGCATATTACAGGTCTAAAAGAAAACATCCTAAAAACTTCAATATGAACTCCAATACTATCATTTTCTCGTATTATAGTATCATTAATAAAATACATTCAATATATTTGTTCACACATCACTTTAATAAAATAAAAAAGTGAATTATTATAAGTAAAAAATATAAAGAATGATGTAAGGATTGTGCGTCCGTACAAAAATTAGGGATGACAATGGGTCGGGCAGGGCGGGTACTACAACACCCCCCACCCCGTGACCCGCACAGGTCCAAACTTGTTGACCCATGCCCCGTTCCATGTGGGCGGATCCGCCCGGCCCCACCCCGCCGTAACCTGATTAGGTAGTATGCATTTCAATTTGTATGGAGTTGTTGTTGGGGTTCAGGCAGAAAAACGCAGCGGAATAAACAAAAAAAAAATAATGCCCAAAAGTAAACAATTGGATCTGAGGTTCTTAGTATAAACGAAATTACAAGACATAAGAGGAACTTACATAGCAATCTTAAGCAAGGATGTCAGACAGTTCGAGAAAACGATCCCGAGCTCTACTGGTATCCACACGCACGTGACTAGATCGGCCACAGGGAACGGCTACGGAACGTGCTAGCGTTCTCTTCTTTCTATCTCTCTCGAGGTTTTGAGATGTGAATTTTAACTCTTAAAATTTGTGGGTCTCCTTAGCCCTATTTATAAGAGGAGCAAAGGAGTTTTATAGCTAATAAAACTCTCATGGAGGCCCCAACCCAATACCATTCGAAAACCTATTTCGAATTGGACTAATCAGACTATTTTAATGTTATTAATGAACATTAATGATCGAAATCACTTAGATGTGTGACCCTGTAAGTTTATATATCGTTGGAGTGGGCTAGAAAATTAATTTAAGCCTCACAAATCATAAGCGGCTTTTAGCAAGGCATTATGACTATTCAAAATATATAAATGTCAATTAAATCTGACATAACCTTTTAATGATTAATTTGTGCTAATAATTCTCTTTTGTCAAACGATATCTTAATTGAGACAAGGTTAGATCATGTCATCCTTGTTATTCTCAATTAATATTTCTTGATTACCAAGTAAGATTAATCTTGAACAAATGACACCTCATTTGAGCATGACCATGCTAATTAATTTTACTTGTCAAGGGGCTCAATAGATATCTTTCTCTCGCTATACGAGAGTGACAAAAACTATCTCGATAATTCACATACCACTACACGGTTCATAATATGTACAATCACCACCTTTATAATTACCCATTTAAAGATAACATTTAATGGTGTTAATACATATTAATTCTCATGTGAGTAACCATGATTATCTCAAGTATAAGAATATAACACCTCATCATTATTGATGACAACACTGATGACATATAACCTACCAGTGTCCTTAAGTTGGGTCTGTCCAATTACTTGTTCAATAACAAGCATCTATGTTATTAACTTGATATCTCTATACCCATGACTAGTGGAAGGAGTTTTACCCTCAATTTTACTAAAAATTGGATAATTGACAAAAAAGGTGACCTTATCTTCTAATTTCCGAAAATGTGACTAAATCATAATTACATCCTTATTCGTAGTGACGGACAAATAGTTACATTACTTCAGTGACACGACAATTCTGGCCACCGTGACGCCAGTAACCGTGACTCCGGCCACAATAACACCGACACAATGACTCCGGCCATAGTTACACACTCATAGTGACATAGTGACTTTGTCCGCATAGTGACTCCGGCCAGACAGTCTAACTCTGATCAGTGACTATGCCATCACCCCAACCCTTCCCATAACCATTGTCCAGCAACTGTCGAGCCACGTGATAGTCGCCTCTGTCACCACCGCCGCTGTCACCACCGCTCCACCCATGTCCCTACCCAGCCCCTTGTCGAGTCAAGCCCCAGCCCAGCCCAGCCCAGCCTAGCCAGATCAAACCACCTCCCATGCCCCCAAGTCGCCTGAGCCTGCCACCAACAATAGTGAAGCCGCTGCATTGAATCGACACTCATCGTCGCCCATACAGTCTTGAACAACTCCGCCTCCATCTGCCGACCCTCAATCTGACACCCTAGATGCTGGCGAGAACAAAACGATCCAGGAGCTTCAGATCTAGATCTAGGTGCAGTTTGGCTTTAATAACGGGAGTGTAGAGGATGTTTGCGATCCGATAAAAGAGAAGAAGATGAAAGGTCTTTGCCAATGACGGCACAAACCAGACAAAGCGGCGGAGGAAGGGGCAGATTTGTGCTTCCAGCTTCTGGATATGACTGGCAACTGTTGGAATGGAAGGGAAGACTGGGAACGAGGTCAAGACGAATCAAAGTTTGGCCGGCCTAGCGAAGATGGTGGTGTTGCGAAGGAGGTAGAGTAGTGAAGCAGCGGCGAGGTTTGGAGTTATACCTGCAGTTGCGACGGAGGTGTAGTGATGATGAACGAGCCTTGAACATTTGGCTGTGACGGATGGTTTATTAGGATGATGGCCATTTAATAGTGGTGATGAAGAAATATTTATGCTTATATATAATGGTGATGAAGAAATATTTATGCCATTGTTTCCTAGTGGAGTATATATAGTGGTGATGAAGAGATATTTATGCCATTGTTTCCTAGTGGAATATATCCATCAGTTAATTCACATATTGATCTATTAATTATTAATGTCTCAAATTAATACTATTAGACCAGAAACAATTAGAATATTATGCGTATTTTAAATTGTAGCATTCTACAATTAAGTCACGTACTTAATTAGCTACTAAACATAATATTCATGACTAAATATTAATAAAGAAAACTCACAATAATAATTAACATAAAATGAGTTTGTCACTTTATTAATTAATGAGCATTTAATATTCATTGATAAATCATAAAATATGATTGTCCTAGGACATACTTCCAACAGTTGTTACCACTTTAATCTACATAAATTTTCTTTACATAATTATTAAAATTGCACCCACGTCTTTTGAAAAGAGCTGCTAAAAATTTCAAAAATTAAGAAAAAAGTATTTAGACTTGAATAGTCAATCTATTTATATTATTAATAGAAAATATAAATCAAAATGCTATTTAAGATATTGATAATTCTCCATTCCTCGCATTCAAATATACTCCCTCCAGTCCTAAATAAACTTCACACTTTGACTTCACATAAATTAAGGAAATAAATTTGACTTTACTGTAGAGTACACTGTTGTGATACTGTTTGACACTGTTTTGCACTGTTTTGATGTAGATAATTTGCCAAATAAGGAAGGGAGAAGAAGTGTGAAGTTTATTTTGGACCTATCCAAAAAGGAAAGTGTGAAGTTTATTTAGGACCGGATGGAGTAAATATTTCTCCCTACGTCCCACTATAATTGTCTCATTTTTCCCTTTTCGTCCGTCCCACTATAATTGTTTGATACCATATTTGGTAACATTTGTGTGCTTCTAATTCGCTCTTACTTTATTCTCACTTTATCAATTCATTATCAACCACATAATTCTACTTTTCTTAAACGTCACACCACTCCCTTTCATCCCAATGATACTGCGACGGAGGTAGTAATATATTACAAGACCAAAGAACTTATGATTTATTATATACGCATATATGTATGTAGAAGTATATTTGTAGTATGGTTTAAAAAAGCACGCGTACTTATATATTCAACGGGTCGGGTCGGGGCAGAACTGATCAATACTAATACCTGGACCCGCCCCATTGTATCAATGGGGAGGACCCGCCCAATTTGCAAGACGAGGCAGGGCGGACCCGTCCCAAATGTCTCGGGCCAGGGCAGGTCATTGCGGGTCGGGTTTTTTGACATGTCTAACAAAAATGGGCCAAATTACGAATTGGTAAAAAAAACAGGTTGTTTTGACAAATTGGCAAAAAAAAACCTCTTAAGTTGGTACAAAAAATATGCCTATGTGACAAATTGGCCAATTTTTTGTGAGTGAGACATTTTCCGTCCTCGATTTTGAAATTCCCGACATTTCATATTCTAACTATTGTGAAATTGACATTTTCAGTCCTTCAACTTTGACCTTGTCAAGAAATTCACGACAATTAAGTTACTAACATTTTGTCTCAAACGGATAATGAAAGTGGTTAGTTAAAAAAGTTAACAGAATATGCTAGTATTAATTTGGTGATTCAACCGGCTATGAGGTAGCGGACAATTGTTATTAAAAATGTCTCATTCACATAAAAGTGACCAATTTGTCACTTTGGACATCTTTTTTTACCAATATGACTGAAAAGTTTTTTTTTTCAATTTGGTAATTTGGCCAACAAAAATGTTTGGTGCATGCATCATGAGTGGGGGACTTGCTTTTATTTACTTATGCTTTAAGTTTGCAATGGGGCCCCATTTCTTTTTCCCAAATGTTCGTCCACTTGACCAAAATCCTTTCCACTGATATGATGAATTCTTTCTCAGCCGGCCAATAGAATTTAGAAATCGGTCGGAATTATTGTTTCGCCGGCGAAGATGGAAACCAGAATTCCTAGCTGTAACCGGAAGCAGAGCAGCAGCCGGCAGATGTCAATGTCCGATACGGAGTCACAGATGGAGACGACGTTCCACTCCCCTGAGCAATCTGACTCGCCCTTTCGCGACCCGTTTTGGGAATCAAACTCAAAGGCGGCGGCGGCTCTTCCTCCTCCTCCTCACCCCAAAGCAATACTTGAGAAGTACTACTCCCCCCAGCGGTCCCCTGCCGCAAAGCTGCAGTTTGACCGCCGCTCTTCTACAAGGAACGATTCAACGGCGACCAGCCTCCGAGGAGGCGTTGAGGATGGACGGAGATCCGCGTCGCCACCAGCTGGCGGCATGCTTAGCACAGCGGCTAATTTAGTGCTTAGGGTTGCCCAAGCGCTCTTCTGCCTCATTTCCTTCTCCGTTATGGCGGCTGATCAAACTCAGGGTTGGACTGGTGACTCGTGGCACCGATACAAAGAGTACAGGTATATAATACTCGTAGTAGCTTCTTCAAATTTAAGCTTTGTTTTTACCCCGTTTCAAACTCTTATGTGTCTAGTGGATTTCAAACTCGAGACCTCTCATTTACTACGCATCACTATATATATATATATATATATATATATATATATATATATATATATATATATATATATATATATATATATTCTTCTTTATATCAAAATAATAATAATAATAATAATAATAATTTCATATTCGCTCAATTTATTTTTTCCCTACCATCACTATATTCATCAATATATCCTACCCTTTTTAATTAAAATTATATAATTGGTCATTTTTTATGGAACGAGAGGTAGTACTACATACGGGTGTAATACAAGTCTGATTATTTCTTTCACATATATGCTTGTCTAGATAATGCTTTTATTTGCCAATATTTTTTGCTTTTACGTACACCATGTCTAAAATACACCATGTCTAAAAGAAGAATACAAAAACTAGAAGAAAAAACAGAACAAGTATAAGAGGAGGCACGGGAGCTCGGCAATCAGGGCCACACGACGTGAGGAAACTTAGCTAGATATATAGATATTAATTAAAAACAAAAGGCAAAGATTAAAAGAAAAAAATTAAAAAAAGAAAAAAGAAAAAACTAAGAAGGGTGAAGACACTCTCATTCTCTACTCCACCCCAAAATCACATAATTATCATTAACCCTCCCTCCTCCACCTTCCATATCCCCAATTAACCTAAACTTTTCCACTTTAAAAAACAAACCTTATTCTTCTTTATTAATCATTCGGGTATTGTGAATATCCCCGTAAACTCATTTTACATACAACATCTTATTCTACTTTCATGCTTTGTTATCTTGTTCATAAATTCTCAAAACTTAAAATAATGAAATAATTGATGAAAAGAAAAAAACGGAAAACCAATTAGGTTGAGAACCCAAAAAGGTGACCTAAACAAATATGTGACAAAGAAACAAACTTGAGTGAGTTGGTGAGAAGAAGAAAAACGAGGAGTTACAATGAATATCTGAAAAGGACTCCCAAGCAAAATGAGAGAAAATGAGAGTAATTTTAAATTTTTACAATAGAAAATTTCGTGTTTGGATTCATACAACCGGATACTCGACCATGTATTGGCCATACCTGTTGAGTGTTTTCAGAGAGCTTTCCAGAAATCTTCGAAGGAGATTGATGAATAGCACATGAAATTAAGTGTGAGGGAGCATGAACTAAATATTAAAGCTTGAGAGAGGGAACCAATTTTTAATGTGACAATAAACGTGACACCCTAGTACATCTGATGGAGTATATTCCCGTATACCCCAGGGGTATCATAATCGCCGATGAGAAAACATCACGGGGCCACATCAGAGTGCGTGAAAAGACTAAGTTCACAATCGGACCGACCCCGACCCCGACCCCGACCCCGACCGACCAAGGTCAGGAATGAGCGTCAGACAGTAAAATGACCAAAGGCCAAGTGGTCATCCCGACCCCGACCTCGAGGTCAGGAAAACACCAGGCTCAGGGATGGGCCAAACTCGACAAGTTATGAGCCCGACCTCGAATACCCGAGCTCGGTACCAAGCCCGACCTCGGAGGTCAAGCACATGGGCAAGCAAAGTCAGAGTATCAAGCGGCCAGCTACGTCAGAGACAGGACAATGGACAGAAGGCGAGTCCCCTAGCGATGAGCCCGAGTCCCCAGTCACTGACCCCAACAGAACTCAAGGTCATGCCAAGGCATTATGTACTTAGACAAGTCCGCAAGGACCAGCACCGCAAGAAAGTACTGCCATGTCATCACCAGCGGCAGATAATATGCTAGGATGCACTCGCTTAGCCACACGGGGATTCTGGTAGCAATTTATTAGAGGTAATTCCAATCAGTCAGCTGTCCAAAACTATCTCTCCAATCACCTTTACACGTGGATGCTCCCCATCGAATTAGACTGATAGTTGGTTAGAATAGCCTTACACGTGTCCCCTTCCCATCTGATCAGTATCTTTTTACTTGGGCACCAAGTATTGCCTTCTATCTCTTAGTATAAATATCACCTTCCAAATTGTGGAAAGGAATCACATTCTCTATTCTCCTACTGTTATACTGCCGGATTGTCTACCTGTGTTTTTCGATCAGTTCACTGTCCCATTTTACTTGGATTCCGACTACCCATGGTCCGGTGATCCATCATTTTTGGTGCTTTCATTGAGAGCTGAACTGTGAACAGGTCAGATCCTCCCGCACTTTTTCCAGATCTATAGCAAGCTTCTTCTCAACAATGACTGGAAAGAAAACTCTGAGAACCCGACGCGCTGCTACTGTCGTCGCCCAAGTTGAGCCCTCGCTGGAAGCTATTGCTACTTCCGGCGCCAGGAGGGCCGCCATGGAAAAATAAGCCGTTGGAGCTTCCGCTGATCTGCGCAGCCAGATCCAGCATGCTTCCCCAGATCTCCGTCAGCAGTGACGTGCACTTTGTCGTGATGTGCACTCAAAATAAATATCAATACAACACTTATACGTAGTATAGTGTAGTAAGGTTCGTATCCACAGGGAAAGGAATACTTTTCTTTTACGTAACTAGTAACAAGGGTTTTTTTTGATTTGATTTAATAATACTAAGATGAACAACCTATATGCGTTTAATTAATAGAGATGGGGACTTGGTTTTGCTTTTATCCACTTAATGAAATGTTCGTCGATCCCGGTTATATCTTTAACTATCTTCCTCTCGAATACTCAATCGAGGAGTATATCCAGTTCATCGAGGGTAGTTATTAATAACGAGACGCGTTCATTTATAAACTTACTACCGAGTCAATATAGAACACACGCCGTATATTAACACGATAGTAGCAATAAACTTAAGATGAAAACGATTGAGATTGATAACCTCAACACAAGCGGTTTATTGGTTTAATCAATATAATTAATTCCCCTTAGATTATTAACCATGAGACGCATGCATTAATAATCCAAGTTTACTACCGTTGAAAGAACCGAATTAATAACAAGCGTATTAATCGATTGATTCTAGTAATAATTAATATATGAAACAAAACTAGTTGATCCTTTAAGTAATGCTCAAAATATTAATATGAAATATGAATAGGAATTAATTAATATTCAAGGAAGAATATTATTAAAGAAGATGAATCCTGCTATAATTAATGTCGAGATGTTAACTAATTGTCATCTTAGCAACACTCCCCAACATTAATATAGAGGAAGAAAATACTACTGTAACTAATGTCAAGATGTTAACTAATTGTCATCTTAGCAACACTCCCCAACATTAATATAGAGATAGTATTAAGGAAAGAACTAATAATTAATATTCAAGGAAGAAGATTAAAGAAAATAACTCACAACTTACAAATCATTAAGTTTCAAAGTAGCAAAACCAAGATGGAAGAGTTTAGCTCCTCATTTGGAGACTAAACATGATGAAAATATAAAGAAAGTACTTAACTAAACTCAGCTTAGAAGTGTATGGGAATTGGTGATTAAATGGGAAGAAAAAGGGGTGTATTTATAGGTATTTTGAGGTGGCTGAGTCTGATACCCGACCGGGTATATAGGATACCCGATCGGGTACCTTAGGTAATCAGAAGTTGTTGAAATCACATCCAACCTGAACGGGTTGAGTACCAACCCGACCCGGTTGGGAACAAAATCTGATTTTCCACGCCCTTTTTATCTTCAGGCGTTACTATGTTCGATGTCAACACCAACCCGACCAGGTTGAGTACCAACCCGACCGGGTTAAGTATCAAATCGTATATTTTCAACGTTCTCTTGATCCTCGACACGTGCTTTTGTTCTTGTCAAGTCAGCCCGACCAGGTTTTGTTCCAACCCGACCGGGTTTCGGCGCGTAGGGAGTTTGGCCTTTGTGATCTTTTCTTTGGGTACCTCTCCTTCAAGATCAATCTTCTCAATCTCTTCATCCTCCATTTGCATCTCTTTCGATGTCGGTTCGCTTCTCAACATGATTGCATTAACATGTTGTCTCGGGTTTTGCTCCATTTGTGATGGGAGTTTACCTGAGTCTTTTGCCTCAAGTCGGCTCACGGCATACGAAATTTGGCTAACTTGAGTTTCCAAATTTTTAATGCTTGACTTTGTCTCATGTTGAAATTGTATCATGGTTTGTTGAAATTGTCCCATGTTTTGTTGCATGGTAACCATGTTCGAGGTCAAAGATCGGATCATGTCATCGGTTGACATATTGGAATGAGAAGGATTGGGTTGTTGAGGATTTCCATATCTCAAGTTTGGATGATCCCTCAACCCCGGATTGTAAGTATTTGAGAAATGATCGTACCTCTTTTGTTAACCTTGGAATCCCATGGCGTTGACTTGTTTGGATTCCTCTTGGAGTGATGAGCAAGAATCAGTGAGGTGCCCGGTTGATGTGCATATGCCGCAAACCTTGACTTCTTGAGTTTTGGGTTTTAGGAGTTCCTTCACTAAAGAAGTCAAACCAGCAACTTGGTTTTCCAACGAGGTGTTGGATTCCGATGCGGCAATCCTTCGGGTTGAGGACCGCCCATTGTAATGCCTAGAGTTCGCGGCCAACTCCGAGATGAGATTCCTTGCTTGAGAAGGGGTTTTGTTAACAATCCCCCCTCCACATGCCGCATTCACCATTCGCCTATCTTGATCCGCAAGACCATCATAAAAATAGAGGATGAGGTCTTGCTCGGTGTACCCATGATATGGGCAACTAGCACACAATTTCTTGAAACGCTCCCAATATTCATACAATGTCTTATCTTCTTTTTTCTCAATGTTGCTTATTTGTTTTTTCAAAGAAGATGATATGGAGGCGGGATAGTATCTATCCAAGAAGCATTTTTTCATTGCCGCCCATGTATCTATACTTCCCGAGGGAAGATAGAATAGCCAATCTTTTGCGGTGTCTTTGAGTGAAAATGAAAAGGCTCTCAGTTTGATTTGCTCCTCCGTTACATCGTTTGAACACATGCTTGTGCAAACGATGTGAAATTCCGACAAGTGCTTGTTCGGATCTTCCCCTCTTAGGCCATGGAAGGATGACAGTAGATGTATGAGCCCAGATTTTAGCTCAAATGTATTACCTTCATTGAGTGTAGGGAAAGTAATACACAATGGTTGTTGATTGAGATCTGGAGTAGTGAGCTCCCATAGTGTTCTTGTCTCGAGAGCCATTTGAATAGACTCCTCGCATTCGCTGGAGCTAGCGTTTGATGATTCTTCTGAGGGTTTGTGTGGAAATAAATTTCGCAACCTCCCGAAGGCTTGTTCTATTTCGGAATTTGTTTGGCAGGTGAGTTGATTTATAGATCAGGTTCTTACCATATACTCAAACAAAGCTCAGAAAATAGAAAAGTAAAGATTCTTTATATTTTTTTTCTTTGAAATAAAATAAAAGAAAAATAATTGCCTTTCCCCGGCAACGACGCCAAATTTGACGTGCACTTTGTCATGATGTGCACTCAAAATAAATATCAATACAACACTTATACGTAGTATAGTGTGGTAAGGTTCGTATCTACAAGGAAAGGAATACTTTTCTTTTACGTAACTAGTAACAAGGTTTTTTTTTGATTTGATTTAATAATACTAAGATGAACAACCTATATGAGTTTAATTAATAGAGATGGGGACTTGGTTTTGCTTTTATCCACTTAATGGAATGTTCGTTGATCCCGGTTATATCTTTAACTATCTTCCTCTCGAATACTCAATCGAGGAGTATATCCAGTTCATCGAGGGTAGTTATTAATAATGAGACGCGTTCATTAATAAAATTTACTACCGAGTCAATATAGAACACGTGCCGTATATTAACACGATAGTAGAAATAAACTTAAGATGAAAACGATTGAGATTGATAACCTCAACACAAGCGGTTTATTGGTTTAATCAATATAATTAATTCCCCTTAGATTATTAACCATGAGAGCATGCATTAATAATCCAAGTTTACTACCGTTGAAAGAACCGAATTAATAACAAGCGTATTAATCGATTGATTCTAGTAATAATTAATATATGAAACAAAACTAGTTGATCCTTTAAGTAATGCTCAAAATATTAATATGAATTATGAATAGGAGTTAATTAATATTCAAGGAAGAATATTATTAAAGAAGATGAATCCTGCTATAATTAATGTCGAGATGTTAACTAATTGTCATCTTAGCAACACTCCCCAACATTAATATAGAGGAAAAAAATACTACTGTAACTAATGTCAAGATGTTAACTAATTGTCATCTTAGCAACACTCCCCAACATTAATATAGAGATAGTATTAAGGAAAGAACTAATAATTAATATTCAAGGAAGAAGATTAAAGAAAATAACTCACAACTTACAAATCATTAAGCTTCAAAGTAGCAAAACCAAGATGGAAGAGTTTAGCTCCTCATTTGAAGACTAAACATGATGAAAATATAAAGAAAGTACTTAACTAGGTATTTATAGGTATTTTGAGGTGACTGAGTCTGATACCCGACCGGGTATATAGGATACCGATCGAGTACCTTAGGTAATCGGAAGTTGCTGAAATCACATCCAACCCGAACGGGTTGAGTACCAACCCGACCGGGTTGGGAACAAAATCTGATTTTCCACGCCCTTTTTATCTTCAGCACGTTACTATGTTCGATGTCAAATCCAACCCGACCGGGTTGAGTACCAACCCGGCCGGGTTAAGTATCAAATCATATATTTTCAACGTTCTCTTGATCCTCGACACGTGCTTTTGTTCTTGTCAAGTCAGCCCGGCCGGGTTTTGTTCCAACCCGGCCGGGTTTCGGCGCGTAGCTTCCTCTTAGCTTCATATGTCACTTCCAACTCGACCGGGTTGTGTTCCAACCCGACCGGGTTTGCTACCAGAATTTATTTCCACCCTTCATCTTGCCTCCCTTTGGTACCTATAATACTACCTTGCATCCCTTATGGTACTTACAACCAAATACATACTAAAAATACAAATTACAACCTATAAAATAAATCTAGAGAGTGCATCACAAACTAAACTAAACAATTGAAAATAACAATCAAACAATACTAAAATAACAAACTTATGCACTAGGAAATAGTGCATATCAAGCAGATCTCGCTATACCGTGATGCAGCGGCAACGCCGCCCGCGCAGGTGATCCCACAATTCCAGAATCTTCTGATGGTGGATCATTCTGCGGCGGTTGGCGCCCTCATCTCCGGGTTACAGCAGGTGCTACCCACGCTACAATCTTAGCCAACAACTGCTGTGACTCCTCATGCCACTAGGCCTATCTCACCGGCGAACTCTAGATCCCGGTCTTTGAGGGTAGGCTCTATTGACGCCCCTCTGGTGGTGGATAGGCCAGCGCAGATGGTCTATCAATCTCCCCCTCGCCAGAGGACTACTCCGTTGGTGGCTTCTGCGGCACCTGTGAACGCTGTGCCTCTAGCACAGCAGACGGGAACTTCCCGCTCCACTGCGGCACCACATAGGATGGCCCCACCGCCTCCTCCTGCATTGCCGGCGAAATACACGGCACGTCGTGTTGATCACGGCTGCCACAATGATGAAGGCGTCTACGCCGTCACCACGGAGGACTCCTCACAGTCATTTTCCCCGCAAGGGCAGCAACAGGATGACAACCCCAATCCCCGGATTGAAGTGGGAAGGCATCCCATCTTCTCCATATTGGGAGACAGATCTGTGGCGAATCAGCGCCTATCTGTCATCATTCGGGTGATCAACCGGGCGAATTCCCCAGTTCTCAACATCCCCCAGCAACAACAACTACAACCTAGGAGAAGGACTCTGGAGCGTATACCCGCTTTGGAGAGGCTAGGGGCAATCATTCCCCTAGATTCGCCCCCCAATGCCATCAGCCATTTCGCCGCCAGGGCAAAGACAAAGAGGCACTTCTCCTACCTGTTATTCGTCAAGCAAGGCAGGGATGAGCCATTGAGCAAGTTCCTCGAGCGCTGGAACGAATAGACCTCCAAGGTCTATGGGGCAGACGGCAACACCCGTCTGTCCATGTTGCAGGAAGTTCTGTGCTCCGGAGCCTTCTCCAGGAGCCTTATCATAGATCCCCCACGGGATTATCCGCGGGCGCTTCACCTCGAGCAGAATTATGCCTTAGCGGAGAAAGTGCACAACCACAAATGGGCACAGGAAAATGCTGCCAAGCCCCAAAAGAAGGAGCAGAAGGAGCATGAGAAGCCGAAACAGCCGCGGGAGGAAAACCCCGCGATGACAATGACAGGCACCGAGGTAGGGGCAACTTCAGAAACAGACGCCCCTGGACTGGTCCCAAGCTGATAGCACCTGAGGTCCTGACGTCACTGACCCATTCTGTCAGCCATATTCTGGAGGCGGCCGGCCAAGAAGGCTTGGTGGTTCGGAACCCACGGATTAATGAGATCCAGTCGGGGGACAAATCAGGCCCCTACTGCAAGTTTCACAGGTTTCATGGCCATACAACAGATGAATGCCACACGCTGAAACTGGAGATCGAGAAATTGATCAACCGGGGCTACTTAACACGGGTTGTGCGGAAATCAGAATCTGGTCAGAAGCGTGGCCATGAACGCAAGTCCAGGGACGAAGAACGAGAACCAGACCGTTCCCCCAGGAAGAAGGACATTGGGCTGATCTCCGACGATGATTCGGCCGAGGATAACAGACGTAATCAGCGGCGCCGACGTGAGGTCCGAATGATCGTCGGAAGAAATACGGGCGGTGACACTGCCTCACAGAGGAAAAAATGGAACAACAAGCTCTACGTGGGGGAAATCACAAACCCCCCACCTGCTTCCAAAAGAGCAAGGTCGGATGTGATCTCATTCACCGACCGCGATCTGCCAGACTTCCCTTCTCCTCACAGGGACGCTTTGGTGGTGAAATGTGAGGTGGGCGCGGCCATCATTCATCGTGTCTATGTTGATAGCGGGTCTTCTGTCAACATCATGTACATACAAACGTTCCATGAGCTGGACCACCACCTCAACTCTCTAGGCCCATCTGAACTCCCCTCTCCGGGTTTACCGGTGACTCCATAGACGGCGAGGGCACTATTGAGCTCACCCTTAGATTAGAAGATGAATCTCATCACTCTAGGATCCCTGTGGAGTTCGTGGTGGTGCGACTCGAGTGCGCTCACAATGTGATACTTGGAAGGCCGACATTGGAGGATCTAGAGGTCGTGATTTCCATGCGGCACCTCTGCATGAAGTTCCCCACTGAGTCTGGGGTCGGCTACTGCAGGGGGAGCCAGAAGATAGCCCAATCTTGCTACATTAAGATGACTAAGAGGATGGCCGCCAGAGATATGTGCATCAATACCATCTCCCTGGCAGCACTTCAAGAGAAAACTCCACGGGCTGAGCCCGTGGATACGTTGGAGACAATTGTCCTGGACCAGGCCAATCCAGTAAGGGCTGTTCAGATCGGGACAAATCTGAAACTGGGGTTGAGGCAAGCAATAATTTATGTTCTTGTGAAATACAAGGTTATCTTCGCACTAGGTCCTAATGAAATGCCGGGAATCAGCCGTGATTTTTTTTTTTAAGAAAATATAATTTTATTGAAAAGAAAAGGAAACGGTACAGAAAAAAAGAGAAGGAAAAAAGAAAATAAAACAATACAGGGAAAGAAAAGACTAAAACTACACCCAAGGAAATTCTCTTGACTGAGACCTAGTAGTCATGTTGTGCCACCTTTTATTCTTTTGCGTTTTCCTGTAGATTTTGAGCTGCGTGTTTAAATTTTCCGTTGGCAAGCAATTTCCTGAGGTAACAAACGTTGATTTCCTGCAGATCGCTCTGTTGAACTTTGATTTCCTAATATCTGTTGGAGTTGAAATAGGGGGACGAAGATCGCTTTCAGTGGCATGTCCCAGAAAGTCGTCCATGAAAGAAGAATCATCTGATTGATAATAATTGTCTGATGCGTCTGAGTAAGCCTGAACAAGCATGAGACGTTCTACTGGAGTTGGAGAGTTTTGTTTCTCTGAGTAGGCTCCTTGAATTTGGTAATCAAAAATTAGTTTCGATATTGCTTTTGGCTCCTCAGGAACTAATACGGTTTGTTGTATACAATCCATTGCTCGCTCCTGCACTGAAGTAGTTAGTCTAACAAAATTTGAAAATATCATCATAAATTTTTTTAAACTGGATTTCTTTGGGCCCATGGGGATTAGAATGAAGCTTCCTTTTTCCTTAGCAATTTTCAGATATAGACCTGACTTGTTGAAATTTGAAGAGACCGTGATAGAGTCAAATCTTTTGTTTTCCCTACAATTATCTGATACGATGAGCTGATTCATAAATTTGTAGATGTCGGGTGCTTTCTCTTTTTTGAAATTAATCCTATGCAAAATCAGCCGTGATATAATCACGCACAAGGTATCCGTGGATCCCAACGCGACGCCTGTCAAACAGCGCAAGCGGTACCTGTCTACGGACAGGCGGGAATTCGTCAAGGCTGAGGTGACTATGCTCCTTAGAATAAATCATATCGCCGAAGTCGAATACCCGGATTGGCTAGCAAATGTTGTCCTGACACCTAAGCCACCAACATTTCGTATGTGCGTCGATTATACTGACCTCAACAAGGCTTGCCCGATGGATCCATTCCCATTGTCGAACATCGATCAACTCATTGATGAGACAACCGGCTGTGAGCTCATGAGCTTCCTGGACGCCTTCCGAGGCTATCACCAGATTTTCATGAACGAATCTGATGCCCAGAAAACAACATTCATGTCCCCGGAGGGCATATTTTGCTATCTAGTCATGGCATTCGGGCTCAAGAACTCAGGCACTACCTACACCCGTATGGTGGCCAGGGTCTTCAAAGCTGTGCTCGGCAGGACAATGGAGGCATACGTCGATGACATGATAGTCAAAGCCGCAAAGCCAGCACACATGCTGAGGATCTGGAAGAGATCTTCAAAATTATGGACAAAATCAACCTCCGGCTGAACCCCAAGAAGTGCACATTTGCAGTTCAAGGGGGCAAATTCCTGGGCTATATGATAAGCGAACGTGGAATTGAACCGAACCCGGAGAAGGTGCAGGCCATACTAAAAATAGAGCCGCCCAGAAATGTCAAAGAGGTCCAAAGGTTAACTGGGAAATTGGAAGCCCTCAACCAGTTCCTTTCGAAATCGGCCGAGCGTGCACTGCCTTTCTTCCAAATCATGAGGAAGTCTGCCGAATTTCAGTGGACTCCTGAGTGCCAGACAGCATTCGACGACCTCAAGCGATATCTCGTCTCTCCGCCGGTATGATCAAAACCCGAGGATGGGGAGGCACTGTACCTCTACCTTGGCGTCAGCCACGGGGCCGGGTTTCGGGTTTGCTGTTTGGGTCGGTTGACCCTACCCGGTCGGGTAATATCCGAAATATCCGGTCGGGTATTAGGGTTGGGTCGGGTTTTGCTCAGCCCTAAATACATATGCAAAGCACAACAAGTACAAAATTGCAGGAGAAAGACATTTTATACACAGAATATATGGAAGACATTCAAAGTGTTCAGAAGTGTACAGTTACAGCAACGGCTCAACAGCCAGATTTGCAGAAAAGAATAAGGGGAGGGGAATCTATTCTTTCCTCTTTCTCTTCTTCTTCTTCTTCTTCTTCTTCTTCTTCTTCTTCTTCTTCTCCTGCTCTACTTCCTCTCTAGCTCCGGCCTCGGCTGACTGTGGTTGAATGGTCAAGGAATACTGAATTTGCTGGCCAGGGGCGATCTTCGGATGCTTCAGGGGCCGTGGGAGCTTTTATTTTTTGTAATTAAAACCAGGGAGAGTCTAAAGAAGCTTCCCATAGATCTCCTTCTGCATCTGGTACTTCCCGTACTCCAGGGAAGGAAGCAGCTGCTTACCCAGGACTCTAGGCCCTCTGTGGTGGCCAGCCAGCCTTCCATATGTTGGCCCATCACACCATGTAGCCATGAAATGGAATCAGGGGAAGGAGAATCACCTGAGCATGAGGCCTTGAACTCCTCAGCTTCGGAAGCTTTTGCCTTCTCGAGCTCGGCAGCATGTGCAGTCATGATCCTCCCCAGGACCTGGCTTCGCTCTGAGGAAAGGGCGGCAGCAGAATCCCTCATAATTTGGACCTATGTTTCCAGTTGCACGACCCGGACCCCCTTGAGCCCATCCTGCAACCGGGACTCTTGGAGGGCAGCCTCGAGCTCTTCACAACGCCATTGCCAGCCAACGACATTTTCTCGTAGCTGCTCATTCTCCCGAGCTAAACGATTGGCTTTGCCAGTCATCTCAGTCACAGATCTTTGGAGAGCTTCATTTTCAGTGACAGTGCTCTCGGCAATGTCGGTCATCTGCTTATGCATTGCCTGATACACCTCGAGCTCCTCCTCGGTACAGCGAGCCTCATGCTCGGCCTTCCGATCTCTCTCTTCGGAGGCCATGGCATTCTCCTCAGCTTCCACTAGGCATTTCACGGCTTGATCCACCGTCCCCTTGAGATTATCAAACTGGGGTTCACTCTCCGCCCGCTCAGCCTTGAGCATAGGCACATGCCGCTCAGCACCCAGGGCCCTCTCGGCGAACTCATAGAGCATCTCGCTAAACTGCACAGTCTGTTTGAGGGCCCGGTCAACAGTGGCCTCCATCTCATCAGCACGCTTCTAAGAGATTTTGAGAGCTTGCTCAACGAGGGACCTGGTGTGAATAATACCACCCTCTCTTCTCCTGGCCTAGCGAGCCTGATGCTCTACATCATCAACCCTACGGCCAAGCTCGTGGCATATGAATGCAAACTGAGAACGAGAACACACAGTCAGGTAACAACCAAAAAGTACGACAAATGAAAGATATGCAAAAGGGGAAACTACTGACCTTGAGGCAATAGTTGGCTGCATCCATGGCGATCTCCCGGGTAGTCATGCGACTCAAAATGTAGTCATCTGCATACGGGCGGATCTGCGAGAGGAAATCCATGCTATGCACGGTGCCAACAACGAAACTGTGATCCCGGTCCATGCAGTACTTAAACCACTGGTTATCCGGATCGGGATAGGAGCGGCAACTGGGGAACATGGGGCGATCAGCCTCAGGGTAAATGGAAGGACCGGCCCCGCTTCCCCCATTCACATGCGGGTCGGCCTCTAGAACAGCCCCACTACCCTTCAGAGACAAATGGGCCTACTCGTGCCGTAGGGTCTCACAATTACCCCCTCATCTTCACTCTCACTCTCCACAATCACCATATCTGGTTGGGAGGAGAGGGGTATGGTGGCAGGCTCAGCATCACTTTGGGGGACGGTATCAGGAGCATCCACATCCATATCTACTCCCCCAATGCCTTCCCTGGCCGCAACTTCTTCCTGTCTAGGGGGAGATATCTTCAAGTGAGGGCTCGAGGTGACACCATCATCAACATCTTGAGGAGAGACGGTTCCCCTGCGGCGGCATCGCCAGCCCCAACTTTATCGGCAGTGGCCTCCGCCTCACCCTCAAGAGAGCCGTCACCTGTGATCTTGACCTCGCCGCCAGTAGAGGCAACATCTGCATCATTAGCAAGAGAATGAGGTGCAGGGCTCGCATCATCATCACCACTCTCCTCAGAAGAGGAGGAGGACTCACTCGGGGAGGACCCAGGTTGTTTCTTCTGTGCAAAATTCTTTTGAACCATGTCCAGAAGAGCAAATATGTTTTGACAACCTGCAAACGACATATAATTCGACATCAGCAAGGCCCCAAGTTGGGTCACACGGATTACATAGCATGGTAAAAGTTACTATAAAAAAACCATACCAGGAACAGTGACGCCGGGCTCGACCTGGCTGACGTTTCGCCCCAAGGGAGAAGTCTTCTCCTCCTGCTCATCCCCTCCCGAAGGGGCGGTAGCCTCCTCCTCCTCCTCCTCAGAATCTAAAGGTGCAACAGCACCAAAGTCGGGCATAAGCCCCTCAATCACTGGAGACTTTGGGACTGGGACCACATCTCCTCCCTCCCCACCATTTCCGGCAGGCGCGGCATCGATTTCCATTGCAGCGTCACCAAGCACCGCAAGGAGTGAAAAACTGGTGCACTTTAGATCCTCCCTGAGCTTCTTCTCGGTCACAAACTTTCCAATATCATATTGATCGGGCTTCAGGTACTTCTTCATGTCATCAGCGTACTCATCTAGATCACTTGCATTGTGCTTCCGAGAACGCACACACTCCTGAACCAAGATCGAGGTATCTATAGAGAACGGAGATACTGCCGTTACCTCTTGGCGATTTGTGCAGACGTAGAAGAATCTGCCTTTCCACCCGCAATATGAAGTCGGGGCATTAATGAACCCACTGCAGCCCCCAACCTGCGCTACAGAAGCATAACTCTGGTTTCCCTTTGAGGGAGTGCGGCCGATGTTAAACAAACGGTGAAACAGGCCCACAGTGGGAGTAATATCCAGACCTAGACAACGCAACAGAAAAGCAGCGATGTAGTAGAATCCATTAGGGGTAAGCTAGCAAGGAAGCAGACCAACCCAATCCAGGTACTCAACATAGAAGGGATGCAGAGGGAACCTGAATCCATGCCTAACTGCGTCATAATAGGCGAAGAAAAACCCCGACGGGCAAGAAGAGGGCAGCTCGCTAGCATCTGACCTCATCATTACTACGTTGGGCCCACATAGTCGTCTCGCCTCCTCCCACTCCTTTTCAGACAGCGAACAACGAACCGCGGACTCGGAAAAGCTGTCCAGGGTAAAAAATTCAGAGTTGTCTTTGAGATTCTTCTTAAAGCGCACCCTACACCCTGGCCGCGCATTAACTGGCACAACATCAAGCGCTGAGGTCGCATCCTCGACCTTGTCGGTTAAACCAGCGTCCCTCAGGGCAGCATCATCATCATAACCCAAAGGTAAGTCATTGCTAGCCCTATCTCCGGTATTAGCAGAAACACCGTCAGAAGACATTTTCAAATCTGCAGAAAAAACACGGACATGCAGAGAATCAAAATCGGGGTTAAGGAGAAAAAATTCGATTCCCAAACAAAAATTAAACACTCGAATC